ATCCAAATGGGCGTGCAATCGCTTGAATAAGAATGTTTCTTCTCGTCATACGCACAAACACCTCCACCTTTACAACCTGTTCGTTGTTGGACAGCCCTAAAAGAAGCATATGGGATATCTCGTCATAAGAAAAAAAAAAGCTACTTTATAGACTGCATATCAGGTGATAAGATCATAGATTTTGCTAAATGCATTTCACTCGCTAAAGCCAGAAACACATCTTGGCAAGAGTGAGAAAAGCAAGTTAATGTCTTCTTTCTTCGTCTAATGCTTAAAGCAATGAAGGCGGTTAATTTTCCAAAGAAACTGTGGTGCTGAGTAGGTGGGGATAACAAGGTAATTTATAATTAATTTATCAACTATTTTGATAATGTAAGTTGCCCACCGTAAAGAGTTTCAAACTGTGGATTGTGTTGTTGTTTATATATGCGGAGGGTGGAGCTACGCTATTGATGGGAACATTGTAACGAAAAAAAACAAGAGTAAATTAGTAGAATGATAAGCGTTCGTTGATACCTAGAGTATTTCACATTACTCTATCATTTTTGACTGTGCTAAGTACCTGCCGGGACGTAACGCCAGTCTTTTAATGTATTAGTTTGGGTCACCCATCTGGTTCTTGACTTTTTCTGGCGGGTCCGAACTTGGTTGCAACCCATCCAGGTTTTCATTTCTGCTGAACTTGGTAGGTTTTTCGCCTTTCCAGGCAGGCTCTCTGAACCCTTTTTTCCCCTTTTTTTCGATCTTTTTGCTTGTGCGATGGTTTTGGTTTGCGCTAGAACGTGTGTGGTGCATGCCACGTCGGCAGATACGGTATTTCCTAGACCCGAGGTGCTCGCTATGTTGGAAAAGGAAGTTGACTTCGAGAAATTGTCCGCCGTCCAACTCGTTCCTTGAGGCCTCATTCGTCTTACGTTTAAAGATCCGGACGATAAGGAGAGTCTTGTGGAGCGCGGTATGCTGAATATTAGGGAGCTTAAGCAGGAGGACTTTTGAAGATGACGCCGCCGTCAATGAGCAGTTGAGACTGGGACTAGGTCCGTTGCGCATGACATACCCCCGACAAACGACGTCCTCCTTCCGGCGACGATGTGAGTTTTAGGTATTTGACGGCGTCGTGAAATGTGAGCGATTTATGAGATTTCATGGCTTTTGTAGTTTTTTTCAACTTTTCCATGTGGTTCACACGATTTCAATCGATGTTCAATTATATTTTTAGTTTAGTTTAAGAGCAGTTTGAGCCTTTTTGAGACAGTTTTTGGAAGATAGAAATGGCCACGGAGAAGGATGCAACGAGCACCAAACCTCCCCCCAAATCGTAAGTAAGCTTATTAGGAAATTATTTATCTGCGAAAGTTAAAATGACGGTGGAATCCTAAGAACTTGAGCCAGTGTTGGAAGATCCCTTTTCCTCACTCTAAATTCGGCTATGCATTCGTCGTCGTTCNGCTTAACAAATTAACATTTGGCGGGAGAGCGACGACGTCAAACCTAGACCGTCGGGAATCTGACGGCGGCGTCGTCCCAGAAGTCTCTCCTCCTTAAGCTCCCTATGAATGGCATTTAGTGCAGCGTCACAAACTCAGATCGGCCACATACCCTAGTCTACATCCATCATTACCCTGTCGAAGGGGATGACGAAATTCTGTGTGATGACTTCCGGCATTTCGGGAAAGTTGTCTTTTGTAAGCGCAAAATGTTTATGAGAGAAATGGTCATCACCGTTCCTGGCGAAGCCAATAATGAAATTAATAATGAAACCAACAGTGTAACTAATGAACCTATCAGTAAACAATCTGAGACCTCAGAAGTTAATAGTAATTCTGGTCAAAGTACCAGCCAATCAATTAATGATAGCAATAGTGCCGTAGTTAAAAGTACCTCTGGTCAAAGTACCAGTCAATTAATTAATGAAAATAGTAGTAATTCTGGTCAAAGCACCAGTCAAGTAATTAATGAAGATAGTGGTAATTCTGGCCAAAGCACCAGTGAAGTAATTAATGTAAGCAATTGTCCCGTAGTTGGTAACATCGATGATGATATTACCGAATTTACTTCACAGTACTCTACCCCTGTCCAGGGCTCTGAGTCCCCTGTTATCTCCGAGTTCTCGTCCCCTCTCTCACGGAGTGTGTCTTTTGATAACTTTGAAACTGTCACCAGGCTGCAAGTGACTGCCTAAATTTGGAGATTTGCTGATTCGATGTTACTTCGAGGTTCCGTTTTGCGCCAATTCGGGATTTTAAAATCGTTCGGCCATAGCCTTCGTATCTGACACCTTTCACCTTTTCTGGAGAGTCACTGATAATTATCGTGTTGTCATTGTCCCCAGGAGAACTGTGTTTTTCTGCGAACTTCTTTTCGCTTCAGGGTTGTGAATGGGAGTCAAGAGTATGTTTACGTAAACAACACCATTGAGAATTAACCGTTTTTTAACCCACAATCACTCAGTGCCTGCCATGTGTGGATACCTTTGAAATAACGAAGATATGAGGTTAGGCATTTCCGCAATCGATTATTTATCTATCTGAGAAATCATACCTGCCGGAGGTTTTCTTTTCTTTTTTCTGCGATAGTGATGGCGGACTAGCTCAGTCACTTTGATGGCAAAAGGGCTGAAAATGTAACATAAGGTGTTGACAGTGAGTCATATGAAAGCTAATATTTCAACGCGTCCGAGACATTGACCGACGGAAATAAGAGGGTTTCAGGTGAAAAAATAACTGCACGACGCTTACAAACAGTTATAATAACACCGCGTACGCCACCCTATCACGCTATCACGTGGTTGAGGTTAATTAACCGCGCGGTTTTTTTTGAGGGGGTGGGGTTGGGGTAAGAAAAAATGTTTAGGGTTCTCTGCTGCTTGTAGAAGTCTCCACCCTTAACAGATCAGATTTAACCGGAAGAGAATTGCAACCACTCTGCTTTTTTAATGGAGCAGTGTAGATAATTTTTTTACAAATTTCTTGTTCGTTATCTTCATCAACGACCTACCAAAGACTCTCAGTGATGGAACAACAATTGCTCTGTTTGCTGATGATGTCAAATGTTACAGATCAGTTAATGACTCTAGTGATTGTGCTAATTTTCAAAATGATATTAACAAGCTTTATGACTGGTCCTTTAGATGGGGTTTAGCGTACAAACTAGATGAATGCCTAGGTATGAGAATAACTAGAAAACGTAACAGCTCTATACCGTCTCTTGTTGACAGTCCTTATGAAGCCGGAGAACATGCCCTTGCGGTCGTTTCCTCACAAAAGGATCTCGGATTTATCGTCACAGAAAAACTTACATGGAACTCT